GGGCTGATCAAAGTCAGGGCATGGCTAACTCACAGATTGAACCCTGAAACAACCTCTGGGCTGATCAAAGTCAGGGCATGGCTAACTCACAGATCAAGCCCTGAAACGACCTCTGGGCTGATCTAAGTCAGGGCATGGCTAACTCACAGAACGAATTAAAATTTAGCGTGTTTGGTTTCGCGGAGGGAGGAAAACCGTAGAACCCAACCCTGACATCAAGGGAGATACCTAACAAACTCTACTCACATGTGATGCTGAGTCTGGGAATCAAACCCTAGACCACAGAGGTGAGGGACGAATGCTGCGACTACCGCTATGCAACCCTTGTTTCCCAAATCAGCGAGTCTGCTACACCAGATCATTTCTGTATCCTTCCCTATCCTTCATTTGTCTTTCTTTATTTAGGGCGATTTCTTTCTTTCTTTATTTATTTTATTTATTTTATTTTTGAGTTAGGAGTCAAGTCTAGATTCTTCCCTGATTATACGCACCTCTTTGAATTTCAGAAATCAGCAGTGAAAACTTAAGAACTTGCTTTGGAATARTCGACCGTTATCTTCTTTTAGACGGGAAAGAATTTCTTAAGGTAAGATAACAATTAGAGTGGATTTCGTAGTTGTACCTTATCTTACCATAGCTGTAACTCCGCTTTGTGATTGGATAAATTACTGGAAGACAATGGAAAGCCATTTCCATGTTACAGCATGTCGTACACGTTTCCCACTCATACGAAAATCATTCTTATTGGAAGCCATTTCCATGTTACAGCATGTCGTACACGTTTCCCACTCATACGATAACCATTCTTATGGGAAGCCATTTCAATGTTACAGCATGTCGAACACGTTTCCCACTCATACGATAACCATTCTTATGGGAAGCCATTTCAATGTTACAGCATGTCGTACCGTGATGTGCTGTAAGTCAGTACCGTACGTATCCCACTCATACGAAAATCATTCTTATGGGAAGCCATTTTATGACATGTACWGTGATGTGCTGTAAGACAGTACCGTATGTTTCCAATACTTATGGGAAGCCATTTCAATGTTATGGCATGTACCGTGATGTGCAATAAGGCCCCGTCCACACGTACCCGGAAATTTTTGTATCCGCAAATTTTTTTTACGGATACGGGTTGAGTCCACAGGCGTGTCCGGAAATTTTTGTGTCCGTATCCGCAAATTTTACGAAAACGGATACATGTGGACGGTGAAAACGATTCGAATACGCTGCGTGTGGACGCAAACATCTTCGTATCCGCAAAAAAAAAATTGCGGATACAAAAATTTCCGGATAAGTGTGGGCGTGGCCTAAGTCAGTACTGTATATTTCCCACTCATACGAAAATCATTATCCCACAGAATTTCGGTACGTCCGTGGTTCGTTCCTGCGAGAACATGGTGGGGAATATCAAACCTGAAGGAGGAATCATTATAGCCAAGGTATAAGCACAAGGCAATATGTAAGCAGGATTGGATTTGGGGTTCCTGTGGAAAATAAAGGAAGAGAGGGACTAATCTTTCCCCTCCTTTAGTCCTCTTCTCTCCTATTATCTCCACAGGCCCTCCAAAAACAAAAATCAAGCCGAAAAATGTTACTCATAGCTTATAGAGAAAGCTAATTTGATTGCAATTGCAGAATAATTTGTTCGTGGCTGTTTGATTTTTCTAGGTTATCGAGACCATTGTCAAATCTTTTCCTGTGGAAGGAGTGCAGTTGTTGCAGCCAGTTCTCATCAAGATGTTTAAACTGATTTTTGAAGAAGAGGTACTAATACTAAAACACTTGGATACTGTGTATTCAAGGCGGTTGTGGGGTTGGGCACGCCACAGGTAGCCCGCCAAAAAGGCAATCGCGAAAGAGACGCCTGCAAAAGAGGCTGGGATTAAATCTTCCACACAATTTTTCATTACACGGGTCAGAAGCTTATTCTTGGGGTGCACTTTACGTCATGGCCGCCATGTTGGTTGACGATAACAAAGTATTCCCTATTAGCTTGTCTTCTCTTAGATCAACCAAGATGGCGGCTGTTTCATTGTTATTTATATCTCGAGGGGTTTTGATCCAAGTGGTTGCACCCCAAAGTGGTTTCAACCCACTAATGAGTTTCTGACTGGTGGAAAACGTGGTTGATGTGCGCCACCTCTTCTGACTCCAGATTGAACACGACCACAGCGGTGAGAGGCATGCGCAGTAGAGGCGGGGCATTAATGCAATTTTCGTATGACTGTGAAAAGCTCACGGCACGAACACGGTCGTGACACGGCAAGGGATACGCCAGACCAATCACATTGCGCGAGAATTTACTCTGCGTCCAATCAAATGCCCGAAACATGTCACGATCACTGCGCGGACACGGTCACGCCAATGTCACGGGACTACCAGACCAATCACATTGCGCGAGAAAAAAAATCAACTAATTAAAATTCAAGAAATCATCACGGTCACTTCACGGACCGCTTACGGCACTGAGCTTTTCACAGTCATACGAAAACTGTTCTAGCAGTACACTCATATGTTCTTATTGTGTGTTTTATCTAACCAGGAACACACACCGTTGCTAGTCATCTATTTATGTATTTTTGGAGAAATCATTCTAAAGAATCCCTCCTACTTCTCGGACTTTATTGAAATGATGGCAGGAATGTCCCATGCGCAGGTAAGTGATGTGAAGCTGATTCAAGTTTTGGATTTCTCTAAAATATATTTTTTTTTTACAATTTTTCTCATCCTTACTAACCCAGGGGTAAAATTCTGTCGCTCGTTTCTCGATTCCAGAAAGAATTATTTTTTACCGCCGAGGATGTAAACATCAATATTGGAGTTGTAYGCATAGAATATTGAATATAGTGATAGTGTGTGTTAGTGGAAACCAATATTGAAAGTGAATTGTTTACGCATGCGTGATGTATCGCTAAGAGTCACTCGCTTTAAAATCAGAGGGAGTAAAATTAAAGGGTAAACCAGAAAGATCATGTTAATCTATATGTCTTTCTGTTTTCAGAGCGTGGACCTTCTTGGACAGTTTTTAGATGTCTGTCTGGACAAGGTAAAGATTGAGTGTGGTTAATACGTCGACGAAATTTTTCTTGTGAAATATTGATTTTTATGTCGTGAATCCGAACAGCTTGACTCGATGACTCGACTGGAAAGAAGAAAACTAATGGTGATGGCGCTATCTTCACTTTTACCTGTAAATTCGAAGTAAGTCTTGTCATTTCTTCAACACTCCATAAATAAAAATTTACCAGGGACTTGATTTACCGACACGGCCAACCTCTATTTGTCGTCCACTTGACCGGCGCCAGAGGTTAGCCGTTTAATTAGCCGTTTCGAGGTTGAGGGAAAAAACTGGGTCTTGTTTAACATTGCAGTGCATTGTGGGGCTGTTTGAGGGGACATATTTCAAAGATGGCATCTACTTCGTCCCCTAAAACGTTCCGGCGATGCACTGTACTGCAATCTCGACCCAGTTTTCTCACCCTCGGAATGGATAATGGTGGCTCTACTGTCGTCTGTCGTGAGTATTCATCGTCCTTCCAGACTCGTACCCAGTCGCTTCTCTTCATTTATTGATCTCACGCTGTGTTTGATGGGAAGGATTTAGCGAGTTTGTGGTGTATCAAGGGAAGGAAGGAAGAGAAAAGCGAACTTTTTCTCTCCTTCCCAAAAGCCTTCGCTCGCAATAAGAAAGCGTGAGTGACGACTGGGTACGAGTCTGTCATCCTTCCATTACGCTTGAGTGATGTACAGGCTGAGAAGTGGGCCTTCAATTTGCTTAACATCCTGGTCCGCATTTTCTGTACAAATAGTATACATTGTTAGGATTGCTGGCACTACACACAGTTTTGTCAGAGCCTTGTTTTCCGGCTTTACTTTCCGGCTTTACTTTCCGGCTTTATTTTAGGGGGAGGGCTAATTGAGTTTAGGGGGGGCTAATTGAGTTTCTTCTGTCAA